GTCCCTGGAGCTACTACCTGCACCCTTCGCCCTTTTCGGCTGGCGTCTCACCAACCACCCCCAGGCATTTATTTATTTCCATGCGGTTCGAATGCCGCGACTTGCCTCTCCTGCTTTTCGACGTGGCTGTAAAGAGGAAGGGAGTATGAGCCCTTTTCATATTGTCCAGCTTTCGCTGTTCGTCGCGTTGAAAATGAACGTCGATATATTCTACTTTAAAAAGAAAAAGAAAAAAGAAAAGTAAAAAAGTAAGGTGATGTGGAAAATTTAGCATTAGCTCGGTCGATAAAGCAGCGTTTGCATTTTTTGGTCGAACAACTGGGTTGATCGATCCCAAATTCGTTCCACTGTGCAAACATAGTATTAAGTTGAAACGATTGTTCGATCAAAATTTGGTTTACGTTTGCATTTGGGCAACTTTTAGTCGGTCAAGCGATTCGATCAACTTCGAATCTAATATAACATTCCCAATAAAAGTTGCGTTTAACGATAAGTATAATCTTGTAGTTGAACTGTCAGATCTTCTAAAAATGTACCAGCTCTCGAATTGGATTGATAATTCGGCCGAAAGTTACTTAACGTGAACAAGGTACTGACACTTTTATAGATATCTAAACGAAAACTGATATTAATTCAGAAACGCTGTTGACGATCGAGGAAACAAAGAATTTGAAAAAGTCAATTTGCTTTGGTAATTTTAATATTAACCAACTTTTAGGTTAGGATTTTTCGATCCTAACCTAAAAATTTGACCAAAAGAATGCTTGATGCAAACGCGGCTTTTCAGTTTTTTTCAAATTTAATCGAGCAAAGGAGTCACTCCATCGTCAAATCTATCAATTATACTCTATTTTCGATCCGATCGTTAATATAAACGAACGCTTGAAATCCTCGATCTCTGATTGACCGACCGGGTCTCAAATCGATCGTTCGATCAAAAGTTTGTCTAAACGGCTCAATCGTTCGACGATTCGTTTTTCAATCGGGCGGCGAAAACCGGACAATGCGGAAAAGGCTCAAAGGGTGGATGGAGGGTGGATGGAGAGGGGAGGGGGATGAGCCCCACGCGTGATTCACTCGTAAAATCCGCGGGCGAGACTCGAAATCCGTAATCACAGTTCGCACCACCAGCTATGCAGGATCTCACCCCATCCGACAGAAGGGGTGCGAGCCACCCCTGTCTCCTTCGAACGGAACGAGAGAGGGGAGAAAAAAAACGGGGGCGAACATTTCGCGGTGGCTCTTTTCTTCTCGTCCTGCCACGAATCGAATCTTCCCTCTCTCTCTCTCTCTCTCTCTTCTCTCTCTCTCTCTCTTCTTTTTTNTNTNTNTNTNTNTNTTCTCTCTCTCTCTCT